TTGGAGGGTGTTTGTAGGAATGAATGTCCCTTCAGCCAAAAGATCATTTGTGAGCTCAGGTACTGGTGTTGGATGAGAACTAACTCTCTTTTTTAATTTCAAATCATCCCAAAGGTGTTCAGTAGGGATAATGCCCGGGTTCTTTGTAGACCACTCGAGTTCCACCATTCCAAATTCATCAAACCATGTCTTTATGGAGCTGGCTGTGGCAAGGTACAGTCATGTTAGAACAGAAAAGGACCTTCCCCGAACTGTTGTCACAAGGTTGGAAGTGCACAACTGTCTAAATGTCTTTGTATGATGTAACATTAACAGTATTCTATAAACACAATGCTACAACGTACAAAGACGTTTTAGACAATTGTGCACTTCCAACCTTGTGGCAACAGTTTAAAGAAGGCTCTTTTCTGTTCCAGAATGACCGTGTCCCTGTGCACAAAACATGCTCCATAAAGACATGCGGTTCAATGAGTTTGGAGTGGAGGAGTTCAAGTAGACTTCACAGAAATTTGGAGGGGTGTCTACATACTCTGGCCATATAGGTAGTTGTGATGGTCAGATGCCTACAAAGTTTTAGCTATGACTTAGCATGCTGTAGTATTAACTGTACCTTTAACTGGGAACAACTGAATTTCACATACTTGTGGCCATATGTGTAGATGTGATGGTCAGGTGTTCACGAACGTGACCATATAGAGTATTTACACTTTAATTTATGGGAATGCCAACACTTGTAAGAACCATTTTCATATGCTGCTGTGAACATTAATCAGTCCAACTGATACGTTAGTTGTAAATTACCTTTTATTACCATTTTCCAGTTAATGTTTTTTTAAGTGATGGTTTAAACAAACTTAAAGGGCCAGGCCACCCAAAACTGATGTTTCATCTATAGTAGAACTCCAACGGCTGTATGTAACCATTGCCTATTCATATTTCTCAGGAATTAAGTCATGAGCTTTCTTTCTTGCTCTGTCCCTCTGCAGTGAGGCTTTCTTATACTGATAAAGGAGTTGGGGTGAGACTAGGGACTTTAGCGCAAGGCTCCCAAAATGACAGTTGATGGTTTAACCCGACTGAGTCAATGCACCACTAAAATATCACTTTTGGGTGGTCTAGCTTTTTATATTCAGGCCATGTGACTTTTGTTATTTCATATAGCTTATACTGTATATTACTTTGACAGGGTAAGCACTGGCCAGATAACGCACTCGCTATATTGTTTTCTTTTTCATTGATGTATTTGTGTAACATGAATCAAGCTGTTATGTGACCGTGGGTATTTAATGAAATGGTTTTATTTGTCATAATATTTGTGTATGTATTTATTTATATAGATTTTATATAATATATACATTTATATGTACATACCTAGTTGATCACATGATTAAGAGTGCAATGGCTGTTAGTTGGTCACATAGTTACATGCATACATGGTGGAATGGCTTGGTAAATGCAAAATGGCAGCTGTAGAGATACAAGGTGGCTCCATCGTTATGGGAAGAGATTCTTGAAGGTCTTACGTGTCAGTAGTTTACTAGTCACTCGGGTCACAATTTCCCCGACTGTCCATTTGGAGCCTTCAAAGAGAGAGAGAGAGAGAGAGAGAGAGAGAGAGATTAGGCAATGGATACAATGGACTAATCATTTGTTGTACTTAATTTGGTTTGTTTCTAAAAGAGTCACTTTGCCCATTTAGAGCACAGAGGGAAAGCTGTGTTCATAGTCCAAATCAGTGGAGCAGTTAACAACCATGGCTCACTCCATAGAGACATTGGGATGAGTGTAGCCACCTTAAGACAGGAAGTGTATTTTTGCCCTAATCACCAGGTGAAAATAAAGGAAAGAAAGCCTAAGAAACTAATGCAGCCATCACATCTAAGGACTGGTAGGCTGCAATATATTACATTTTTGTTTTTGGGTTTAATACCCGGTGCTTCCATATCTGGGAAAGTATGTGACCTCCTCCCGGAATGCAGTGCTCAAAGCCAATCTTCAGGTGTGAACATTGTTATGTGAGAAAGTGAAGGGAGACAGAGCTCTAATATGAAGGTTACACAGGGTTTGAATTCCTGTTACCAATGAAGTTATGGAGCAGCGGGTGAGTGTAAAGACTTGCCACCCGGCTTTCCGATTAGCAGGGAAGCCGTCCCTATGCTTCTCGTCACTATGTGATGAGAGAGCATGTAGCCGGCTTTCTGGCCAATCTGGAAGCCCGGGGCCGTGTAGTGACGCGGCGCCCGGCTTCCTGATTGGCCTGGGAAGCCAGCTCCATGCTCCCTCTTCATGAGGTGACAAGGGAGCATGAAGCCGGCTTCCCAGCCAATCAGGAAGCCATGCGCCGCGTCATTACACGGCACCCGGCTTTCTGATTGGCCAGCTTCCCGACCAATCAGGAAGCCGGGCAGCGTGTAATGACGTGCTGCAAGGCTTCCTGATACAGGAATTATCTGGCTAGGCATTGGAGCATTTGGGCGAGTACTCGGTATCTGTGTCGGTATCGGTGAATCCCTAATGGCAATATTTTTATGACCCCTTTCACACCAGTGCGACAGAGTTTCAGCAAATTTCCCACACCTTTTATGCGTGTTTCAGCGTAAGAACGGTTTAAGGCGTGTTTTCAGTTCGTTTTCTGTTGTCCAATGAAAAGCAGTCTCGGCTGCAAAAGCGAGAAAAAGCGCAAAAACAAGCTGATCAGCGCTTTTCAATTGAAGTCTATGGAGCTGATAAGCTCCACAAAAAAAGCTCAAGGACTATTTTAAACAACGGGCGTATTTTTATGTGAGATTCAGCGCGTTTGTGTGAACGGCCCCCATAGGAATACACAGGATTTGGATTTGCATGTGTTCATCGCAGACAAAAATAAGCGACGAAACACCCTGGTGTGAACGGGGCCTTAAATGTGGTTTTATGTTGCAGATTAGACAAACGGTTTATTTATTTATTTGCTACAAAGCAACATTTCTGTTTTTCCTTTCAGTGTTGTCACCATAGGAAAGGATGTGTGTTAGGACTACATAACACCTACCCTCTCCTCTTTTTCATAACAATGTAACTGATAGTACTGCAGCACAGACAGAGACCAATAGAAGTTTTCAGCTCTCTAGATTTTTGGCAGGATAAAAAAATTTTTTTTGCACCTATTGAACAGATATAACAAGACACTTTCATTGATATAGGTAAAAGACTAAAGGGGAGCAAATTGTTCATTGTTAGGGTTTACCTACACTTTATATGTATACTGTATGTAGATATCTATCTATAGATATCTATAGACTGTTTTGAGAGATCTGCTGTGTCCATATTGCACTCTTTCATCTTGGCTGCATTACCTGTTTAATGCCGTTCTCCTTTTTTCGATTTCTTTACGGGCTGTTTACACCCACGGAAGGCTCCCGTGTCTCGCAGCTGTTGCCCACGGTATTGAGACGGGCTGGCACAAGTGGCATCTGGGCGGGTGCGGCTACCGTCAATCCACCTACATAAGAAGAGACATAGTTAGGACTGGTCTGTGGCATGTTACGGGAGATATTCTGCTCTGTAGCGTTTTCTTTGATGTACCTTCTCAGGGCTGCCAGCTGGCAGGAGCAGTGCCAAGGGTTGTTTGCTAGTGTCAGGTTCTGCAGGGAGGAGAATGGGGCATTGGCAGGAAGCTGGCTTAACTTATTTCCTTCAATGTTCAGACTCTTCAAGGCTGTGACTCCAACAAAAGCTTTTTCTGAAAACTAAAGCGAAAAATGTGAAGGTTTGGCCGCTGCAGGAGGAACAAACACTCCACCTCTTCCCTGCTCATTACACACGTCTACATCCCCATCTCCAGAATCCTCACCCACGCTGTGTGCTCCCCACATTTTTTAGCTGTTAAAGGAATGCCATTGGAAATTTCCATCTGTGATCCTACTGAGATGCTTTGACTAAAGTCTGCCAAGCTTAGTAAAGAAAATTGAGCTCTTTCTTAGGCTGGCCATACACCATTAGCCTGTGGGCTAAACCAAGAAACTCAAACAAATTCCTCCATCCATGCTAAAAAGCTTAGATGGACAAATCTCCTGCCGTGTCAGAATAGAAGAAGAGTGCCTGCAGCTTGTTGGCTGCACTCACCGTTCGGCCGAAAAGTTTCAGCCCAGCTCCTTTGTCGAAAATCAATTCAGTAATCGACTTTTGTTGCGCTAGGACCCAACTTTGGTCCACCCACACGAGAAATTTGACCACATTTGTGAATCAGACAAAATTCTAACCGTGTGTGGTCAGCTTTAGCCTCTGAACCTTAGACTGCTCATAGACATCAGAGGAACTTTGTCCAATCCAGCTACTAGTAGAGGGAGAGAAAGATGGTTTATCTGAAATGGATTTTTCCAGAAGTTAAAGCAGTCCTGTGCTTTACCCATGCAGGGCAAAGCAACAGCTTGGCTTTTAGGCCCATCAGCACATACTCACCTTCCTTCCCTCCCTCAATGCTCTGTTCAGGTGATTGGCCAAGGACGGAGAGCCATCGGTAAGCTCTTACTGGAAATCCAACTTCAGCTTTTGGTGGCCACACCGATATCAATGCGACTAACTATTTTTTGTACTTACTAAAAAATTTCTTAGCCCAAAAAATGAAAACTAATGCAGTCATCACATATAAGGACTGGTAGGCTGCAGAGTACTACAGCTTTTGTTCTTAGGTTTAGTTATAGTTTAGGTGTGTGTTACTAGGGAGGGGGGCAA